GCAAGAAATTCATATTGCAAAAGTAAGAGGAGGTTGCCAAAATATCAAGAGCGCCAAGAAAAACCGTGATGTAAATGGAAAACTTGAAAGGTTAGTTGAATCCTTTAAAGAGTACTCTTCAGTAGTTGACTATTTGTGTGGAGTATCATATAAATTAAAGTTATAAGGATTTTTTCTTACTAAATTATTTTATGATATTTGTATTTTGAATAATTATCATTTAGTATAATTGTCCTTTCAATTAATTTTCATTCAAACAATTCATAATTTGAATAAATGTTTTTTGAACAATTACTTCACATAATCAATCTATGGTACCTAGACTTTATGAATTTAAGTACAGTACTAGATTGGCAGTAAGGTCTCATCACTTTACAGTTGAATTGGCTAGATATAATTATAACTTTGCTAACAGTTTCTTTTGTACTTTTCACCTGGGGAAATCTTTTCTGACTTCAAGTTTCCAGCCAACCTTGACCTTAAATTTGAATGCAATGTCAATCATTATCTGTCTTCTTGATTCTTCCTCTTTTATTATTGTTCTCACTCCTCAATGTTTTTCTTTTTCTTTCAAACTCAGTAACCACTTGTGTCTTAGTGGCTTTATTGCCCTGATTGGGTGAAATGATTAAAACAAAAGTCAAATAGAAAATAAGGTTAATCAAGCATAGAATAAAATGAGGATGCTGAATGGCTAAAGATCAAACACTGCTCTGATAAGCATTGTATGACACTGGCTATATAAGTCCCAAATTCAAAGACCCTCCCTCTTTTTCATGGTTAATTTTAATCCAGTAAGTGCCTGACTTGCCTGACTCCTTGCTGTTATATTCTATCATTATGAGAATCAGATCAGACCAAAAATGGAGTATTGCTGTCATGTCTGGGCTGTAGCTGCCCAGTCCTCACATGACTGTCTAGAGTCAAAGTTCAAAAGCATCTATGCAGCCTTGTGAGTTATGAATTATTTCCCACCCTACAACCCCTTTCCCCCACATATGAAACACTGTGAGCCCCTTGCTGTTCTACAACTATTTTCATATCACATGTTCTGACAAGCTAATTTCCTTCGTCCTACACATCTCTGTTCTCTTTGTATTCCATTAATAAGGAAGAAGTTCCACTCGGACAGGTTCTTCTCAAGAACAGCTGCTTTTTGGAAGAGATTTTCAGCATAATGTTTTCCTGATCACCACAGTCCTGACCACTTTTAGTCTAGAGTCAACCTTTATCTTTTCTACATAATTCCATCATTGCATTCATGCCTTTTCTTAAGCTCATACCATGCCAGTAACCCTCTAACTTGAGTGGCACTTGGGCCTTGTATTGGGTGAACATCAGTACAGAATGAAGCAGAGATACCTCCTACATAAAGGGTAAGACATTAGCTAGATGAAGAGACCATTGCCATTAATATCTTACCATAATGCGAGAGGTATACATGGGGTGGGTATTTCTACCACACACTGTATAAAAGAAAATGATTTTAGAATAAAAATAAAAAAAATGAGGCCTTGACAGGGAGTGAGGGTTAGGGTTAAAGTTCTACTGTAGAGTATTGCCTATTTTGCAAGTGAAATAATAAACTGTTGTAATGGAATGTCCCACACTCTCTATTGCATATGTGGACTGACTATATATATATATATATATATATATATATATATATATATATATATATAGTAAGCACAGGATATATCGAGGATGTGCTTCAAGAATTATTAGCCTGCTAACTGATTCCCTGTTTCTCAGTAGAGTATTCTCTTTTACAATAAACCTCTCTTTCTTTCATCTATACCCGTATTGCTGTTCTTTTCACTTGTGTACCACCTTTGTCTGTTGGCAACCTTTTTAAGAATACAACATAAACTTCAGTATATGAAGAATTGCGAGCATTTTAAAACATTGGCTATTTCAGAATAAAAATCCTGATTAAAAGACTTGTAAGCAGAAACGCAACCATTCAAACTACCAGTCAAACACCTAGCTGAACAGATAGAAGACAACTGTGTCTGAAATCAAGCAATCACACAAATTAGTACCATGGTTTTTTACCACCAGTTTAAATTCATGATTGATTTTAATTTTATAATTCACTAGCAGCGTTGCCTGTGCTCGATTCAAAAATCGTACGACTCATACAGAAATCGCTATCACTTGACTTAAAATATTTTTGCCCTTCCTTGCCTTTAAAGGAGTGCCCTTTGCCATGCTGATGTTGCTACATGCCTTACTTCTTGCCTATCTCACACTGTGAATTTTTTCTAAGCTCTAAACTAAACAGTAAATCTGTTAAGAAAAAAGAACTAAACAAAATGAACACAAAACGATCAGCTTTAAAAAAGGACTCGTAACTGAAAAAACTGAATGAAAAAAGAATGTTAACAACAAATACTTTTTCACACCCAACCCAGTTCTGCGGAATCAGAATCAACATTGAGTTTACTCCAATTGGCTCATTTGCTTGCTTAAAGTGCCGTGCAGATTTAAATTTTTCCCCCCATTTGTGACAAATGCAGCTATCGATTTGTTTTGCATGTTAGCATGCTAGTTAACATTCATGTCAGTCAGCTGTTGGCTCTCACGCTGGCCACTACAATCTTCCTGCCTATTCGTGGCAGCCAGCTATAGACACTCACTCTGGCCAGTAGAAAATGGCCGCAAACTAAATAAAAATTGCTGTAGAAGCATGAAAAAAATCGATTATTTCTACTATTGATGGGAGTTGGGAAATGCAAAGTCAATTTTGGCCTTCCTGCTAACTTGGAGCATATGCATGTAAATTTTGGTGCAAATCCGTCAAAAATTGTGGCCATGCATTCGTTACACACACAGACACACACATCCTGCCTTTTACAGATAGAGATATCTGAGCAGATGTAGGTGACTTGAATATGTAGAGAATGCAATGCTTCTAATTTTGTAAATTTCATGTGGGCAGGTTCTTCCCAAGGATGGCTGCTTTGTAAAATAGATTCTTGACAAGACGTTTTCCCAATGATTAAAATTTTGAGAGTCCTGTGTATGAGAATAAACTATAACCAGCAACAAGGCTTCTGATTGAGAGATTGGAGCTTTTTAGTGTGGAACCACTTCTTAATTTTTATTGTTACCAGGTTCACCCTGACCCGGGGTGGTAGCACCTGTTAGGGGTCTCAGCTATGGGCAAATAGTGAAATCCCCAAACAAAGCACTATGAAAGTATAAAAATACATTTCGAGAGTAAAAATACCAGCAATATATATTTATGCAAAAAAAAAGAAAAAGAAAAAAAAAACAATACATATTTATTTTAAAATGACCAGCAATACATTTTTAAAGCAAAATAACCAGCAATACATTTAATCTGTTGTTTAAAGTACACAATTGCATTCAAAATATATTTAGTTGAAGCCATAAAATTGTGTTCAGATTATTTAGGTTTTGGCATTAAATAACCCATAGAGGTGTTGATATGTCACTAAAATCAACCAACTGACATGAAAGAGCTATTTCATAACATTAATCCAGATAATAACTGATAATTTCTGAAATCAAACTGTATGCTAAAATATACCTTCAACAAAAATTATAAAACATATCACCACCCATGTCCACACATATTATATATATATATATATATATATATATATATATATATATATATATAATGCACAAAAGCTGAGTATCATCTACCATGTAGTCAATTGTGAAAGCAGAATAATCTATTTTTATTACTTCAAAGCTCCCAAGAAAATTAAATTTCAACATTAACCATTAACCTCTGCATAACCCCATGAAGTTCTTGCATTTTCCTACTTTCATGCAACACCTCAAAATAACCCTCTAATTTGAGGGTCTCTTGGGCCTTGTTTATAAGAAAAAGGTGGCAGGTGAAGGAAAAGGGGAGGCAATGCTTCTCCCCTTCCCATGTGTCTCAGACAGTGGAATGAGATCATAGAAAGACAAAGCCGGCAAACTTAAAAGAAATTACTACTACCTAAAAAAAAAAAAAAAAAACTGTAGATTAACCCTTTGTGCCCTGGCCACCACTTTACCCGTGGTAGAGAAAAATGACATAATGCCCAACCACCGGCTGAACGGAGGGTAAACACTTGTAACTATTTTTATACCTACCATGAAACATTACATATCAATTATTTGTGAATTTTGACTCAGGAGCTCAGGCAGAAGGGTTAAAATTCTTCAGGAATGCAGGTATTCAAAGGGTTAAGAGAGACCACCTCTTTAACAAAAACTACTGAAAAGATACACAGAGGACTTTTCTTCTAAGTCCACAGATTCACATTGTCTGCAAACACTTGTTTCTCATTCTCTAATTGGATATTAAATATATTTAAATGGTACAAGTTGTTGTGTTTCTTTCTTTTCAGAAGCTATCACTCAGTTTGTTTGAGTGCATGTGACTTCCCACGAACCTATTAAATTGGGAATACATTCTGGTTTGTCACCATGGATATAATCACCACACCGTATATCTTACACCCAACTGATTCATTCTAAAGTTGTTCACAGTAGATGATGCTAACTTGACCATTTTCACAGAGTAGACATGTAAAGGAAAAATTAAAAAGAAAAAAAAAATCCACATCCAAGCACCTTGTGTAAACACACACACAAAAAAAAAAAAAAAAATCATGAAATTTTACCTAAAAAAGAAAATATCAGAAACACCATCACTTTGTAAAATAATTGGATTTGATGAAAGTAATATTTTATTTATGAGCAAATAATGTTTTTACGTAATTGGGTTTTTGAAATTCTAAGCCAATTTTCTCTTCCACAAATAATTGTCACCTGTCTTTGACGAAAAGAAGTTCAATTAGAGGCTTTGATTTGACAAAAGTTACATTTGATGTTGGAAGGAAGCAGAGGAAGATGAAAGAAAATAAATACATGGAATCGGTGTAAAGAAAGAAATTAGAAGATACTAATCGGAAGAAGAAAAAGAGCTGAAGAGGGAAAGAAAAATCAAAATTCATAGGTGAAGAAAAGAGAGATCATAATAGTAAAGAGTGAGAGAAATGAAAAAAGAGTGAAGAAAGTAGAGAGAGAGAGAGAGAAAAATGTAAGGAGAGAGAGAGAGAAAAATAAGGAGAGAGAGAGGAGTGAGTGAGTGAAAGTAAGGAGAGAGAGTGAGTGAGTGAAAGTAAGGAGAGAGAGTGAGTGAGTGAAAGTAAGGAGAGAGGAGGAGGAAAGTAAGGGAGAGAGAGGAGGAGTGAAAGTAAGAGAGAGAGTGAGGAGAAAGAGGAGAGAGAGGAGAAGTGAGGAGAGAGAGAGAGAGAGAGAGGAGAGAGAGAGAGAGAAAGGAAAGAGAGAGAGGAGAAAGTAAGAGAGAAAGGAGAGAGAGAGAGAGAAAGGAGAGAGAGAGAGAGAAAGGAGAGAGAGAGAGAGAAAGGAGAGAGAGAGAGAGAAAGGAGAGAGAGAGAGAAAGGAGAGAGAGAGAGAGAGAGAGAGAGAGAGAGAGAGAGAGAGAGAGAAAGGAGAGAGAGAAAAGAGAGAGAAAGGAGAGAGAGAGGAGAGAGAAAGGAGAGAGAGAGAGAAAAGAGAGAGAGAGAGAAAGGAGAGAGAGAGGAGGAGAGTGAGGAGTAAGGAGAGTGAGAGAGAGGAGTGAGGGAGAGGGAGAGGAGGAGTAAGGAGAGGAGAGAGGAGTGAGGAGGAGAGTGAGTGTGAGAAAGTAAGGAGAGAGAGTGTGAGAAAGTAAGGAGAGAGAGTGTGAGAAAGTAAGGAGAGAAAGAGGAGAAAGGAAGAGAGAGTGAGGAGAAAGAGGAGAGAGAGGGAAAGTAAGGAGAGAGGTGAGGAGAAAGTAAGGAGAGAGAGGAGGAAAAAGTAAGGAGAGAGAGAGGAGGAAAGTAAGGAGAGAGAGGAGGAGAGAGGAGAGGAGAAAGAGGAGAGAAAGAGAGGAGAGAGAGAGAGAGAAAGCAAGGAGAGAGAGTGAGTGAGTGAGAGAAAGGAGAGAGAGGAGGAGGAGAGAAAGGAGAGAGAGAGGAGTGAGAGAAAGTAAGGAGAGAGAGTGAGGGGAGGAGAGAGAAAGTAAGGAGAGAGAGGAGAGGAGAGAAAGTAAGAGAGAGTGAGTGAGGAGAAAAAGTAAGGAGAGAGGAGGAGTGAGAGAAAGTAAGGAGAGAGAGGAGGGAGGAGAGAAAGAAGGAGAGAGAGGAGTGAGAGAGAAAGGAGAGAGAGTGAGGGAGAGAGAGAAAGGAAGGAGAGAGAGAGGAGGAGGAGAGAAAGTAAGGAGAGAGAGAGAGGAGGAGAGAGAAAGTAAGGAGAGAGAGGAGGAGTGAGAGAAAGTAAGAGAGAGAGAGAGAAAGTAAGGAGAGAGGAGAAGAAAGTAAGGAGAGAGAGTGAGGAGGAGAAAAGTAAGGAGAGAGAGTGAGGAGTGAGAAAGTAAGGAGAGAGAGTGAGGAGGAGAGAAAAGGAGAGAGAGAGGAGGAGGAGAGAAAGTAAGGAGAGAGAGTGAGTGAGTGAGAGAAAGTAAGGAGAGAGAGTGAGTGAGTGAGAGAAAGTAAGGAGAGAGAGTGAGTGAGTGAGAGAAAGTAAGGAGAGAGAGTGAGTGAGTGAGAGAAAGTAAGGAGAGAGAGTGAGTGAGTGAGAGAAAGGAGAATTAGAAAGAAAGAGAGAAACAAAAAGACAAAATCAAGAAAGTAAATTCTTAAAACATAATCCATTGATAAAACAACACAAAGCAAAAATGAGGAAGTCAAGAAATTTGAATGAAACCAAATTAAAAAGGAAAAAAAAAGAAATCAAAAGAAATCAAAGAAAATAAAATTATCTTAAATAGGATTGCCTTCTCATTCAGTTTCAAATTGGGATGACCCATACCCTTTGTGCCTCCATGAGAAACTGCACATTATTAAGTTTCTAAATAATAAAAATCTATTAAACATTAGACATGAGTTAACGGTTTTTTGCCGACATCAAATTTTTGCATTGCTTAAAAACAAGCATACAATAATATAATTTTTATAATCCATAGCCCTAATAAATAGCTTGAATACCCTACAAAAATAGATAACCCTTTATAAAGTCGTCAAAAAAACAAATGTTACGGCAGTTTTTATATACACAAAATCCTTTCATAAAGAAATAAAATAAAAAAATAAATAAATCTCCATAAACACGTAAACCAGACTGGGCGAAAACATCTTCCGTTTTAAATTTAGACACCTCTACCTTGCCCTAACTTGACATCTATGAATGTAACTATACTGATACATATTATTAACACTCAACACCCCTCCCTATTTAAACAATCGCCCTGGCTGTTACCATGGAAATTTTGATTTCAATTATGAATATGCTATTAAAACACGTAAATTTCAGAAATAAGTTATTCCCCAAAAAATTTTGCTTGAAGATGGAACAGAGCTTACTTTAATTCAATTTAATTCAAATAATTATATTGAAGTTTTAGACTCTTGTTTTGAAACATGAGACCTCTTATGTAGCGTGTTGGAATCATATTTTTAAATATATATATTTATATATATATATATATATATATATATATATATATGTGGCTTACAAAAAGATTCTCAGCCCAACCAAGAAGTCCTTTGCCAACTTAAAAAAACAAAAAAATTGTTCATTTGGTCAGATTTTACAAATTGGTTCCAGTCGACAACTTTTCAGCACCCCTTTGCAAGATTTCCCTTTAAAAAATAGAAAGAAAAAATTGCATCTCCCTTCCATATTCATTGAACCATAACTGATGCAAGCATTGAAATTAAAAGACTAACAAAACCAGACAAAAACTGAAATAAAGAAATAAGTAAATTGTAGAGAAAAGGAAAATTTTAAAACAAGCAGATGTGAGACATTTTATTTCTTTACTTATATCTTAATTGTTGCTGAGGAGACAAACAAAATAGATTAATTGAAATCTTTGCATAACAATTTCATTCTAAAGCAAGATCAATGAGATTTTGCAGTCAGAGAGAAGATGGATTTAATGAGACCTTTCAAATTCAGGAATTCAATTCTTGCATTTGTTTGCACACAACATATCTTAGAATTATCACTGGAGACTGAGTCATAGTAAATCTCTTGAAATCTCCAGCATCCTTTTCAGTTGCCATGTAAACCATCAGAGAACTGATGTTATTAGTTGAGCCATATTTCTTTCTTAAATTTCTGACTCCCCTAATATTGAGTCAAAAGATTTGTCATGGCCCCAAGTACATCAACGATTATGAGGATGATCCTAACTATCTTCCATATGTTTCTCAGCTCTCTAGCAAGGTCCTAGTATTTTTCAAATTTCTTCAGATTCATTTTGTGGTGTCATGGACACCACTGTTATAAAAAAAAAGTTATTTTGCACAAGTTAAATAATGCAGACAATAAAGGTGTCAAAGAGAGATGTTGATAACTGGATAACTGACACATGTAAAAAAATAAAAATTAAAGGTCAGGGGTGTAAAAAGAAGAAAAAGGTATCAAGCCAGGTGTGTAAAAAAAAAGAAAGAAAGGAAGCCAGGTGTGTAAAAGGAAAAGAAAGAAAGTCAGGTGTGTGAAAAAAAAGAAAAAAAAAAAAAGTTGTGTAAAAAAAAAAATGTGTAAAAAAAAAGAAAAAAAGCCTGGTGTGTAAAAAAAAAAAAAAAAAAAAAAAAGCATAGGTGTGTAAAAAAAAAAAAAAACATAGCAAGCCTGGTGTGTAAAAGAAAAAGAAAGCAAGCCAGGTGTGTAAAATAAAAAAGAAAGCCAGCTGTGTAAAGGAATAAAAAAGAATGCTAGTTGTGTAAAGGAATAAAAAAGAAAAAAAAAAAAGGAAGCTAGGTGTGTAAAGAAAAAAAAAGAAGCTAGGTGTGTAAAGAAAAAAAAAAGCTAGGTGTGTAAAGAAAAAAAAAAAAAAAAAAAAGCTAGGTGTGTAAAGAAAAAAAAAAGAAGCTAGGTGTGTAAAGAAAAAAAAAAAAAGCTAGGTGTGTAAAGAAAAAAAAAAGAAGCTAGGTGTGTAAAGAAAAAAAAAAGAAGCTAGGTGTGTAAAGAAAAAAAAAAGAAGCTAGGTGTGTAAAGAAAAAAAAAAGAAGCTAGGTGTGTAAAGAAAAAAAAAAGTAAAGTGGTGTGTAAAAAAAAAAAAAAAAAAAGCTAGGTGTGTAAAGAAAAAAAAAAGAAGCTAGGTGTGTAAAGAAAAAAAAAAAAAAAGCTAGGTGTGTAAAAAAAAAAAAAAGCTAGGTGTGTAAAGAAAAAAAAAAAGCTAGGTGTGTAAAAAAAAAAAAAAAGCTAGGTGTGTAAAAAAAAAAAAAAAAAAGCTAGGTGTGTAAAGAAAAAAAAAAAAAAGCTAGGTGTGTAAAAAAAAAAAAAAGCTAGGTGTGTAAAGAAAAAAAAAAGAAGCTAGGTGTGTAAAGAAAAAAAAAAAAAGCTAGGTGTGTAAAGAAAAAAAAGGAAGCTAGGTGTGTAAAGAAAAAAAAGGAAGCTAGGTGTGTAAAGAAAAAATAGAATGAAACCCAGGTGTATAAAAAAAAGCTAGGTGTATAAAGAAGAAAAAAAAAAGAAAAGTTATGTAAAAAGTAAAAAAAAAGAAATGAAAGAAATTCTGACCAGTGTTGTGAACAAAATAGAGAAAATTATGATTTCAGGAATAATAAAATTTTCTGGTGAAGATTAGAACATCAAAATTGACTTAATTTTATTGAAAACTAAAACCTAGGTGGAAAATAAAATAGATATGTGTGATAAAAATGGATCAGTGGATTTGGGTGAAAATAAAACATGCTAAAATCTGATGTATAACTCATATTTCAGATCAGTGCAGAGCAAAGCCTCTGCTACTGATACCATGTAACCCAGTACGACATACTGCCTAAGGGTAGATGGGGCTCTTTAGCCTTGGAAGGCAACCCATCTAGAAGAAGGAAAAGACTGATCCTAAATCTCTGCTGCCTTGTGGGATACCAATTCATAGGAAAGGCTTCATGAGTTAATCCTGAGGAAAAATCTGGAGTTGGAGTCCCTAAGGCAGTTTGTCACTGATTTCAGCCCTGTTATGGCACCTCCTGTGAGGGAGCTGGTGCCAAACTGTAATGGCCCTGCTGATCCTTTGAGTCCACCAGTGACATGGAGAAGGGTGTGTGACATGCAACATGGGCAGCATCTTGTCCTCCATACCATCCTGCCCAGGCATAATCCTACCTTACACCATACATTATAGAGGTAGTTAACCCAGACATCAAATCTGAGAGAACACTCCAGCTTCACCATCAGTGTTGACACAAAATGGTGAGCATGCAAGGAGTTACAGAGAGTGAAAGTAAGAGTAAAGAGGAGTGTTTGGGGAAAAAGAATAAAGGTCAAGGCATCAGAAGATGTTGATTGACACTACATTTGAATATTTAAAGATTATAGCTATCAGGGAAGAGAGTGATAGGAAGGGAGTTCCACTGATGGGAAGTGTGAGATAAGAAGCTGTTGGAGTAGAAGAGATGGCTACATTTAGTCATTTCAACAGTGAAAGGGAAGGGGCCAAGATGCCAACCTAGTAGCATGCTTAAATTCATGCAGTTTGGAAACTTGTGAAAGTAGGTTGTCGGAGCAGTTGCCATGAAAATACTTGTAGAAAAGACAGAGGGAAGCCACAGCATGTCTGTGAGGTGTGTAAAAGATAAGAAAGACAGAAAGCCAAGTGTGTAAAAGAAAAGTCATAGCTGTGCATCAATCTGTTCAGCCAGATGGTGATGTTCCAGAGGAGCAGATAGGTGGGATCAAATCGTTGGTCACTGATAACTGGTGGAGACCTTTATAAACTCATATTGAGACGGTCAAAATAAAATTTCATTGACATCTGTTCAACAATATATTGAATATTCTGTCCTGTCTGGCTGTGAAAAATTGACTAATACATTCACTGTTAAAAGGATTCCACATATACAGTAGAATGAAGAAAAATATACTGAAAAAACAAACAAAAATCCTAATATGCGATCATGCTGTTTTAATGTTAATATAATATCAATATCGGACGTTTCGGTCTAATAGACCATCTTCAGGACATTCATAAAACATAATTAACAGAGACCATATACAATTCAACATGAAAAAGACGATGGACATAAAAGCAATACCAATCCAAGCAGATAACTGAAATCTTTTATAAGATCAGTGTTCCGTTATAAAAGATTTCAGTTACCTGTTTTATTTTTATGAATATGTCCTGAAGATGGTCTATTAGACCAAACGTTTGACGTTGATATTAAACATTAAAACAGCATAATCGCATATTAGATTTTTGTTTTTCAGTATATTTTTCTTCATACTGTCGGATCTATATCCATATATTTGCTTACATACAGTAGAATCTATGGTCCTTATCAGTTAGGGATAGTGGGGGTTGATGCAGAAACCTCTACTCTCCCATAAGAAAAAAAAGAATAAAAGGAGCCACAAGTCATTTTCTCTCCTTTTAAAGATCAAATTTGACTGGGAAGCAAGAATATATATATATATATATATATATATATATATATATATATATATATGAAAGAAAAATACAGAAAAAACAAAATTCTGAATATGCATTATTAATGTTAAAATAAAATCGACGTTTTTCGGTCTATTTAAGACCATCTTCATGGACATTTTCATTTAAACATAATTAACATTATAACTTATAACAATTTAACACAAAAGACGATGGACATAAGAACCCAACTAATTCAAACAGATAACT